GCGAGCCGCTCTGCTCCATCCTGACATCCCCTCCGCCGCCTCCAGAAGTGCTTTACGCCACACACTCCTTCCATCAGCCCCACATCAGCTCCCCACGCTTCCAGCACTGAGCCAGCCAGCAGGACGGCAGCCTGCCGGCTCCACCGACAGCAAGAAGCAACTTCGTGGGGCTCGCTTTTCCATCCAAGAGAGAGGGACGGACGGACGGACACCCCTTCTCAAAGTGTGTACTCTGAGTGACTTGCCTAAGACTTGCTCCCTGTGCAGAAATGGCAGAGCCACCAGGAGGCATCTTTGGGCAGTTTCCAGCTTGGATCCTGGGAAGAGGAGGCATTTGCAAATGGGCACCAACCCCCTTCCCCAGTGCTTGCTTGGGGACACTGGCAGGAGCGTGTGGCACAGGCAGCCTCCGTGTGAGCAACTGGCTGCGGCGTGCAACAGCTGGAGCTCCAGGGAGAGGAATGGGAGCAGGGGCAGAGGGGAAGGTTGGGGGCCACAGAGTACCAGGGCAAAACTGGTTTATTTTTGTAAAATAAAGATTGAAAATGCTTAACTCTTTGTTTCCAAAATAGGACCTGAGCCACTCCTAAGGCCTGGCATGACACAGTGAGGACGCAGGCAGCAGGAGTGGAGAGCCTGGAGTTCAGGGAACAGCCCTGTGTGTGCTGGTGTCTAATCCAGCTGGAACCCCACATTTAGAAAGGGAGCCCATGTGCATGGGTTGGGCAGGCTGGAGAGCAATGGTTTGTGGGGTGATGGGGTCCCTGGGGAAGATGGGTCCCTCCTTGCTGCAGGGCTGGACCTGGCTAATGAGTCTGACGTGCTATGTAGCATCACAGGTCTCTTCCCCGCTGACCCCCTCAGCTCCCTGCTGCCGATGGATAGACCTCCACATGCTCCCCTTGCCATGTGTGGAGGTGCACTGCCATATCGTGTCACCTCAGGTGCGGGTCTTGGTGTGCTGGTGGAGCTTTTGGCTTGACCAGCAGTGCAGCTGGGAAGGAGCATCACAGCATGGAGGGGGGTGCTGATGCCGTGCTGGAGTGCACAGAGGAAGCAAGACCTAGCAGAACCCTTGCTCCAAGGCTATAAGGCACGTAGCTGCAGCCTACGCTGTTTCCCCTTCCCCACCAGTCACAGCTCCATAAAAGGCTGCTGCAGTACCTCATGCATTGAAGAGGATGAAACCTGAAAGGCCAGTGAAGAGTAGATTAGTTCTGCAGGGTCTGATCTAGTGGACACACAAGCTGGTCCATACAGACGGTCTCTGCACCTAACACCCCACCAGCCAGCAGTCCACCTATCAGCCCCACTCTATATGCAAGGCTGAAGCTCACCTGCCAGTGCAGGTCCTATTGCTAACACTGGCTCTGGACTGCTGCCATCTCCAAGGAGCATCAGCTGCAATTTTTTTCAGCAAAGGCTACCACAAGCAGTGCTGCTAACATAGGCTTTTAACTGAGCTAAATGGACCCAATTTGTAGATACCCTTCTTTCAGGCACAGAGAAGCAGCATATTTCCAGATGGGTTTTGGCCCATCGTCATAGTCCTCAAGAGTGGTTTGGAAAAGTCTGTAATGTGCTGTGCTGTGCCCATTTTCTGTCTCTGGTTCGCACTAATGGGATGATAACCAAACAGTGCCATTCCTCATCAAGCTGTCCTCAGGAGAGGCACAGGTAGCACCGCGATTTCTCCTGCCATGCCCTGTTAAGAGGCTGGTGAACCTTCTGCCTCCAGCTTCTGTGCCGGCATGGGAAGCACCTTGGCCAAGGATGCCTGGTGTCAGCACATTGGCCTGGGTGTCACCACCCCACAAAAGCAGTGCTGAGCCAATGGGCAATTGCACTGGCCCTTGTCTGTGCAGCTCTGCCCCCGCCCCGGGGGCGATGCTCACACATAGGGGAGGATGGTGGTTATTCCAGTTGGGAAGCTGGGTTTCTCCATATAGGACATGCAGAATACATCTACAGGCAGCAAAAAGATTCTAACAACATTCACAAAAAAGCAGCAGGAACAATTTCAGTGTGTCTTACACCACCCCCCCTCTGCTAGATCTCACACCAATAGGCTTCACTCTAACCAGTGGTACAAAAACCAGAGCTGCTGATACCTCACACAGGCCATGCCTTGAGCCACCCAGGCTACAGAGGCCCCTCCCAAACTGCATTTCTCTGGGATTTGGCTCTTTGAGCCTGGGAGAAACAACTGGCTGCAGCTCTAGAGGAGCTTGTTTTTACAGGCTCCGCTTCTGCTCCTTCAGCTTCTGGTGGGTTTGCTCCCAGATTTTTCACGTGCTGTTCCTTAGGGCTCTGATGCCCCCATGCTTCCTGGGTTACACAGAATCAGAGAAAAAAGCTACTGCTACTTCGCTTGGGGTTTGCTGTGCTGGGCACCTCAGGCTCATGCTCCTCGCTGGAGGATGCAAAAGAGCCCAGCAAAAACACAGCATTGCCTACAATAACAAGAAATCTCATCCTTGCTGTGGGCCTTCGTGTTTCCTCATGGCTATAAAATACTAAGCTTGGTTTTAGCGGCAGATGGAGAAGGTCCTGCCTGGATGTATATGTATCACCTATGCTCACACAGACACGAAGCCGATATTTTTGTTGCAGAGCTGTTGAAGTCTGAGATTCTGCAGGCTGGGTGGGGTTCTGCGTAGTGCCCGCAGAATTGCTAGACTACTCACTGGTAATGTCTCAGACTTACTCCTGCGACTCAGAATGAAAATAAGTGGTAAGTGGTGAGACTGGGAGACGGGTTTGCAACAACATCCTCTCCAGAACCTAAACAATAGTCTTGGCATCATCAGTTAAGGTGCCCTTCCTCTGCATGGCTGGCTGTGAGGTGGAAGGCCTTCAAGCAGCGTTGTGCTCAGCCGTTTTGGCCAAACACTGGGTGGATGTTGGTGCTAAGAGATGAATCTTCCAATCTGACTTGTCTTTGCCCCAGTCTTGCCCTCAAAAACCTGATCACAAAAGATGATCTGCATGGTTCAAGTGGTTTTTGACCTCTCTGTTGCTTCTGGTGATTGTTAGGTGTCTCGGATGTGGTCTGGTCTCTCTCTGTTATGAAGAATAGTTCCCCGGGAGACCATCCTCAGCACCCAAACAACAAGGGACAACACATCCTTCCAGGGCCACCGGCCCTTTCAACCAGTCACTGAGAAAAATCTCTTTTCCTGAGGCTATTTGCAGAGCTGCACAAGCTGCTTGTTCAGGCTACCTGAGGAGATTCCTTCACTTCTGTACCGGTGCTGTCTCTTGTTTCTCTTTCCCAGGCTCCTGGCCTCTAATCAAGGCTCCTCCTAGGCAACTAGTTCTGATTTCTAAGTAGCCAAGTACCTGTCCTCTGTTATGGCCCTCACTGTTGTCAGCTATTGAACTGTTAATGAGCTCAAATGAGGAGCAAAGGGCAGGGTGGTGCCCAGGGCAATCATCCCTGATTGGTTTCGATTGCCTGCTCCTACCTGCCATGCAATTCCTTTTGAACTTCATTTCCATGGCACCTGGCATTTCTAAAGTGTTATGTGAGTATTATCTGCCCATGCCCAGCCTCCAGGAGCACCGTCCTGCTTGCTGCTCCAAGGGAAGGGGATGCTTCTGGGCACAAAAGTGGAGAAATTGGGTGATGGCCGTGCCTGTGGCAGCATGTCCCTACCCAGGTAGGAGGTCAGTGTCTTTCTGTTGCACTACATAGTCCCTCACTGAAAAGCTCTCTCAAAGTGGTAAAGAGATGAGGGCTCACAGGAGGCTGAGAGACTTTTCAAGTCGGGGTAGGCCAGAGATATAACTTTTCCCTGCAAGCACAGCCTGCTGAAATGCTGCGTTTGTGCTGGCCTCTGCTGGGCAAAGGCTGAGCTCTCCTAGCCTACAACCGTGCTTCTCAGCAGCCTCCTCTTTGTGCTTCCCTACAGCAGAGCTGGCTTGAAGGTTAGCCTGGCTGTTGCCAGAGACTAGGGAAAAAACGAAGAGTCTCAAGGTTAATGTGGGTGTGGAGGCAAGGGGTG